TCTCTCTCTCTCTCTCTCTCTCTCTCTCTCTCTCTCTCTCTTGTGCACGCTCATAGTCTTCATTGCTTTGGCTACCTTAGGGCTGCGTTCCCCGCGCCCACATGGTAGACAATTTTCTGTTATTTTTGGAAGTTGGTGCGCCACAGTTGCTTCGCTGGTCTCTTGAGCTCTCGCTTATCAGCCTATCAGCCGTTGCCCACTTCTGTTCCGTCTGAGTCATGTCTGGTCGAATGCACTGGTGACGAATGTTGCGTCAATGAGCGCATACAGCCTCAGTTGCAAGTGCTGATGTGCGATGCTAATGCGTGCCCATGGCCTTGCTTGCGAATATCGGTAAATAGTAGGAAGCTTTGTCTTGTTTTTTGTTTCATTCCTGCAGTCCCGAGCCCCAATTTCTTTTGTGTCATAGGGCCGCACTTAGATCTTAACAAGCTCCAAAGGGGGACCAGGGGGGGGGGAGGAGGGGGTAAAGAGGTTGAATTGACCCGTGCACAATAATTCGTTCTCACATCCACGTCGTCGCAGTAGATGCTGTCGTCATCATCTGTGGCGGGGAACATTTCCAGCTCATCTTCGGGAGATTGTGGTCGCCGGCCCGTGATATTCTGGTGGACACACATGTAGCCTGCATGGAGTGTTCCTTCTCTGCTGTGAGCTTACACACGGACACACACCTGTGCTCAAATTTTACCTCCTTGTGCCACGATAGCATTCCCAAGTTCCCCAGTGCAGGTAAAGACAGCGTCTACTTGCGACTCGAACGTGAGGAATGTGTTGGTTGTTGCGCACGGGGCAATTCCACCTCTATACCCCCCCTGGAGAGCTTGTAAAGATCTACGTGTGGCCCGGTGACACAAAAGAAAACGGGATGCGGTACTGGGGGTGGGCTGGTGAGGGTGGGCTGGTGAGGCATGCGAATCCTTTCACTTTTTTTGGTTGGCTGCACACCTTGCAGTGGCAACCTCCAATCTCAGGCAACGAAGAGCAGGTTTCACCACATCCACTCCCCACTTTCTCGGACGGAGGGTGACACAGTCCCACACATTTTCATAAACTGCCATATGCAGATGGAGTCATGGCGTATGTGGAAGGACCAGGCAAGGGAGGCAGACAGGTGGGTAATGTGCTCTTGGGATCAATGCTGATCCCCCCAGGCATAGACAGGCAGAACCGTGCCCTGGAGGTGGAGACAGCGGCCACTTTGTGGGCTATTGGGTGCTGCAGGATGGTCTATTCAGCAACAAGGGGATGGTGTATGCCAAGGATGACTTTTTTTTTCCTTTTTTTTCCCCCGTAGATCGGCGATTCAGCTTGATTTTGACTGGGGGTGGAAGACGGGGCAAGGATCGTCCACATTTAAAGCAACTTGGGGATCGTTGCCGGCCTTGGCTCGTATTTGCCCTACAAGGGGGGGGCTTGGCTTCAGGTCTCTCCAGCTGTTTGCACGTCATCCTGTAACCTGGGAGGATGAAGAATCACGGCGGGAGGGTAAGGAGGGGGGGGGGGGGGGGGGGGGGGGGGGGGGGGGGGGGGGGGGGGGGGGGGGTGAAGATGGGAGTAGGGGGCAGTAGTACTGATGGTGTATATTAGGTAGGTAGGGAGGGGCGTAGGTAAGAGGAGGAAAGGGGAGTATTCGGTGTTTCTAATAAAGGGGGGGGGGGCGCACTTGCTGGTTGAAGGTATAGGATCATAATTGTGTATTGACAAGCTGAACCAATCTTTTCGAGGCATAAGGCATAAGGGTAATTTCAGTCTAAAAAGGGCCCTAAATTGGAAAATCAGCAATTGTTCATAAACGGAATGACGACCCCTAAAGTTGATAGGGTAGGGTATACGGAAAGGACAGGGACTAGAAGTACAGGTAGGGGTAATAACTATTCGCGAGCAGTAAGCAAAAAGGGCCTGCCGAAGGTAATGTGATGAAAGCACCGAAGTGGGGGGGAGTAATTGCTCAATCCGCACTATTATGATGATGATGATGATGATGATGATGACGATGATGATGATGATGATGGTGATGATGATGATGATGATGATGATGCATCGATAAAAAAGACTGAAGGATATATTAACAATAGTCTGCACCTGCGTGATTTCTTGGGGAAAGGGGAGGATTCTGTGGGCCTTCAGGGAAGGAGATAGCGACGTCTGGGGACCTAGGGGGGTCTCCTGGATGCACAAATTATAATCTGCACCTGGGCGGTTCCTTGGGGAAGGGGAGGACTGTGTGGATCTTCAGGGGGAGGAGATTGCAACGTTGTGGTGGGTGCCCTCATTAAGATTTTCCACATCACTAAGGGATGACGCTGGCTGACTGACTACCATCTTCACACGAATAGAACACCTGGTCATGATCACTGCATCTGGACTGAAAGTTGCCCCGAATACAAATGACCGTGCGCTCTATTCAGGTGAAGACAGTAGGGGCCTCAACGTGCCCAGCGTTTAATGTTATTGTTGTTCCTCCTTTTTTTCTCTGTTCTATGTTTGCTGCGGACAAGCAACAGGGCTGTTGCCTCCAGAGTAGATGGGGCTTGTGTGCCTGTGCTTTGGTCAGAAGCAAGGAAAAGGTATTGAAAAGGACCAGGTTCATCAACCTCGCCATTGCTAAATGGACCAGGTCCTCAACCTTGGCATTCCAAAACGGAAGCAAGTCCTCAACTCAGCTATTTACAGTAATCCACAGCAGTTTCATTGCATGACTATTAAAGTGAGAAAGAGGAGGCGGCGGCGGAGAGGGAGGCGGGAGACCCGAGAAGCAGCGTCGGGAGGAGGAGGAGGAGGAGGAGGAGGAGGAAAAGCAGGAGGACGGGGAGGATGAGGAGGACAAGGAGGCAGTACGCACCCGCCGTCCACATATACATACAGCATGTGCAGTCACAGACGAAAGCGCACAGCAATCGATAAGAACCATACATTATGTTTTACAAAGGCAAAGCCATGTTCTATACTCGTCAAACAATGGGAGAAAAGGCAAAACGACAAAAAGGCAATTTTACAAAATGTGAAACCGACCAAAGGAATGCGATTAGCGAAGGCAGTAGTCAAGTAAAAACACAGAGTCACAGTGCCTCACTGCACTACTCCCCACATGGACAACAGACATAAAATACGGCGGTGCATCTTTCCATGTTCTAGCGGAAGATTCATGCTCATTTTGCACATTTGGAGAGTAGTGCAGCGCGGCCCACGCACCCAAGAAAAAGAAAAGGAGGGGTTGAATGACAACAAGTGCAGCGTACCGTCCCATAGAGCATTGCGTGCAGCTGGATGAGCCCAGCCGGCTCGAAGCGGCTTGGTACAACCAAGAAGTCGCATCCGGCCATGACGATGTGCGCAAGCAGAGGACTGAACTGCACCACTGCTCGAACTTGTTTTGGAAACTTCTTCTCCAGTTCCTGGAGCTGTTCCTCGAAACTTCCTTTGCCTGTACCCTGGTAGAATCATGCATGCACATCAGTGTCGGCAGGTGAGTCCCTATTCTCTAGAAAATTCTGCAGGTCGGATAGGTTTGTTGTGGCCCATATCCCTGTACAGCCAAGTGTGCATCCCTACCATATACCCGTATCTTGGGAGAATGATGCACTTCAGTATCATTGAATGAGGGCGTACTCACACTAGGCCCTCAAAATCACAATATTGCACAATGAGCGGCCAGATCGAGTCCTTATTTTACAAGAACTCGATCTGGCCACTCCTTTTGCGATTTTGCGATTTTCAGGACCTGATGCGAGTATGCCCTGAGTCTCTACTCTCCCATAAATTCTCCATGTCAAATGAGTTCGTTGTGCTTTATGAAACTGCCCCGCTGTCCTACGTAAAGAGGATACAACAGAGGCCTCGATCCTGATTCTTGTTGTAAGGGACGCTGGACCCGGTTTCCAGCAGGTGAAGCTCCCCACCAATAGACTGGAATCATCCACCCAGAGGCCTCGATCCTCTTGGTTCTCGTACCACCACAGGATCGCAGGCATTCACAGGATGTTAAAAAAACATAATACTATAAGTATGAATTAATATTAATAAAGAGGATGCGAGAAGTGTACATGCCTGCCCTGTGGCTGAGGGCCTTGCCACACCACTCACGAAACAAAAAACAGCACAAGTGCATCGTCCCGTAGTCGTTGGCAAGAACCATCCGTTGGTATGAATAGTAACTGATGAATACGGGCCAGCGGCCTAGCTCCGTTGGCTTTGCACGCAAGTGGCATTCAGGAGGTTGCGGGTTCAATCCCCCACGGCCACCTACGGCGTGCTATCACCAGATGAGATAGTCGGCTTGTCCCCTCCCCGAAGTTGGTCTTGGTAGGCTCTTCCATCCCTTGATGAGGGTTAGACGTCCTTCCTGGTGGATTTCGTCATTGTTTCCCTCTATAGGCTTAGGAGTAATGGTAGGTAGGTGACCAATGGTTTTACTGGAAATCCGAAAATTCCATGTTTTTCTGCGCATCGCCACAAGCAACGTGGTGGAAAAAAAATTGCAAACAAACAAACATCAGAAAGCAAACAGGCAAAAGATAACAACATAAAAAAACTCAAAAACACTACAGAACCCTAAGTTAAACACGAAAATGCTTTCCCAATTCAAATACGCATTGAACGAGTTTCGTGTTTTCGCCAACTTGTTCGTCCGAATATGTCCAAACTCCATACATGATATAGAGCAGAAGTCAAGTTCAACATTAAACAAGCTATAGCTATTGCCACTGATTGGATGCATAAAGTAGTGATCAAAGGATATAGGACTACGATCAAAGGATATATAGGACTGAACCGATGAATAAGTTTTTTTGCTCACACTGGACGCAGTTCTCAGGGCTGGTTACGATCACTGCAAACTTCCATGGTGTCCCTGAGCTTACCTTCTCGTCATTCTTTTTGTAAGAGCACAGAGCAGTAGAGTAGAGTAAAGTAGAATGCAGTTAGTATTAGAGTATGGTGTTGTTTTTTGGGGGGGTGCCTCAAGGACCTCGTGTGTGTAGTAACCTCCTCGTGTGTAGGCTCCTTGCAGTCACCCTTGTGCTATACAGTGCCAGCTGGCTCAACCACCGCAGACTGTTGGGACCCGGGAGGTGCTGAGAGTGAGTAAGGAGCTTGAAGGATAGTAAGCACACATGGACGTAGATACCAGATGGAGACGATATAGGCATGTTAAGAAATAATGAAGGAGTGGGATGGGGCCTGAAGGGCTCCTCAGAATGCCCCCCCTCCGGTGCCATGCCCCCCCTGACGGCTGCCCTACTTCATGTCTGGGTGCGGCTAGTAAGCCTCCCAACAGGTAGAACAGCCCCCGAAAAGGGATCAAGGTAGGGGGATGGGCGCTCTGTAGCATCCCCCCTTGTTCAGGTGTCTAGTCCCGCAAGGGCTAGGCTCGCCCCCTCTTCTTACCTTTTCTCTTCACTACCCTTGTGTAAAACATGCTTGCCGGTGATAAACTACCGGTAGCGCCGTTTCACGAGAGGTACCGGTAGCATAGAGTGGAAAATCAGGTGAATGGCAAAAATGGAATTTGCGTCAAAAAATTGGAAATGCGCCGAATCGGCGCGGCAATTATTTCACAGTAAAAATGATTTTATTGATTTATTCCAATAGTTTTCCTTTGTAATGACCCGCCAAAACACAGACTGAGAACACTGCTGATTTCTGGGATTTGCCACTGGAATGTATGCCTTGCTGAGATTTCCGCATTCTGCTTTGATTTCTAAGTCTGTGCGTGTGCGTGCCTGTCTGAGTGCGTGTCGGCCTGAGTGTGTGTGCGACCCGCAAGGGTACTTGTTAGTTGAAAGGCCCCGCCGGGGCTGGTACTTACCCGTGGCCGTGACTTAGGGTTGCAGCGGGGAAAACACTCAAGTAGCGGGGGTAGGCCAGCGACACTTAGAGCAGCGGGAAAAACACTCAAGTAGCAGGTAGGCCAGTATTACTTGAGTAGTGGTAGAAGTGTCAGGTACTGGAGGCCAAGCAGAAGAAGACAAAAGTTTGCATTTTTAGAGGCCCAGTAGCGGTAGGGTAGAGGTAGGCCGGTACCAGTCCAAGTAGCCTGAGTCGAGGGCCTGTCCGGCCGATATCAGAGCCTGCAATGATGTTTCCCTCCGAAAGGGAGGAGGTACCGGTTGCTGGGAGGCCGCACGGCCTAGGAAGTCACCGCCCAAGAGGCAAGTAGGCCGCTATATCTTCGGGAGGAGCAAGCGGCTCCTCCTCATTTGTGGTGTGCAAGGATTGGCGGCATCCTGCTGGAGCCAAGCGCTGGACTTGGAGCGCTGCCTGGAGGAGGAGAGCAGCTGAGCGCTCAGCCTGGCTATGGCGAGCAGCCCAGCCTGAGGAGGAGGAAGAAGGGGGCGAAGGCGAGGTACCTACCTGGCTGTGGTGGACACCATCTTCATCACCTTGTTAGGCGCTGCATCTGGAAGGCCCCAGTTGGGGTAGTGCCGCACCGAGGAAGCTCGAGGCAGAGACAGGCATGGCGGCTTATTGAGCAGCGGCATAGCTGCTTTGTGTTGTCCTTTGGACAGGAGGGCAGCAACGTAGCTGCTTTGGGTTGTCCTTTGGACAGGAGGGCAGAGCCCTTAGCAGTCCGCCATAGCCTAGGCATGTGAGAGGAGGAAGAAGTGGGAAGCCATGGCTATGGTGGACCTGACGTTGTTTCAGCAGTAAGAGGGAACTTCAGATATTGGTTCTGGAACTTCTGGTTCATCCACTCATTGTTATTATTATTATTGAAAGAATAATAAGATTGGTGAAGCGGAGGAGGAGGAGGAAGGTGGAGTGAGAAGGGGGATTTGTCATTGGTCTTGCTGGTGTGCATCTTCTTCTTCTTCTTCTTCTTCTTCTTCTTCTCCTTCTTCTTCTTCTTCTTTCTTCTTCTTTCCCTCTTCTTTGTTCTCTATCTCTTTGCAAGTGCTTTCATTTCTTTCGCAATTGGGTGGCATTGCCTTTCCTTGTGAATTTGCACTTTGGAAGTGACCAGGATCGTAACACCTTGAAAGATCACGACCTAATCTACGGACCCTCAAATTTTCAGAATTTTTAAAGAATTCTTCTGAGCAAAAAAGAAGAAAAAGAAGAAGAAGAAGAAGTGCAGAAATACAAAATACTACCAAAACATTGTACGCATTTAGGAGGACAAGAGAGGGGGAGTGTAAATGCTGGGCTATGGATCATATGCGTGCTGGGTGTCCGATTGGATTTAGGCTACCATGGTCTATTATAGGTGTAGGGGGTGCAAAAGGTGAGGAATGAGCGAGGACCGTGTGTGAATAGGTGGTTGGAGGCCGATATGGAACCGGTGTGGAATGGAATCAAACAGTGGTTACAGGTATAGGTGTTGCAGAGACAACGAACGCCGATGGATTGCACCAGAAACAGGATG